CCGCCCCCCCAACCGCCGCCGCCCCGCCGCGCCGCCGCCGCCGTCGCCGTCGCTATCGCCACAGATTCTTTCGCTTGCAACAACGTCGCAGTCACCGAATTCCCGCCCCCACACAACAGCGCCCGCCGCCGCCGCCGCCGTAGTCAATGCACCGCTCGAACTTGGCATTATTCAACCGCAGGGCCAAGTTGCACGAGCTGAGGAGAATTCGATGCGAAGAAAATAGTATTGATTGGCAGACATCGCCGTTTTTCACCAGTGAAAATGTTGTCACGCCTTTGCAACAAGTCATTTTCAACATGACTCGCATGTGTGAAATAGTGAGAGGAAACACTGGCAATGGAAATAAAATGTCCTCAATTTTCTTAGAAACAAACCAAAACTTAGTTATTTCGCGACGCAGTTTTCCTGGACTCGATGCCTCCGAATAATCACAATGTGGTGCTGTCGTTGCACACTCGACGTTTCCAAAGGGCCAAATAATTTGTTTGTAACGACTTAATTTTATTGACTGTTCGAGAATTATGACATGCGGAGTATTGTCATTGTTGAGGCAGGGAGTTCTACATCACATAAACAATGCAAACACATCAATACTTTACAGAGCATTATTATTATTATTATTATTATTATTATTATTATTATTATTATTATTAGGTCGTTTAATCCCCAAGATTCCTATTTAGGCCAGGTGGGAATGCAGCTGCCTTTGCTATTTAGGGCAACCATTGCTAGCGCCGCGCAGCCCCGACGAGGAAGTTATTATTTAAGTATATATTTATAATTAGAATGAGATACGTTACATTACTGAGCGCGTATACACAGTCCTGAATTATTTACTTCTTCATATGTATTTCTAATTAATTAAAATTACTCTTAAGTAAAGAAAACTTAATATAATATAAATACTACACTGATTTGGGAGAACTGTGGTTCCCTAATATGGGAAAATATATTAGGGGAGGCATGAAATGCATGCCTATTTCTAATTCAGCTCGGGAAGTTATTGATTGTGGGTTGTAGCCGGCTATATGAGTTATTGAGTTATTTTTTAATAACAACTGTTGGAGACTTCGTAGATGGAATGTTTAATGAATGGTAGGTAGCAATTCTGCATGGAGATGAACATTGGAAATGAACCATGGGGCATGAGTGGCTAATCTAACAAATTTATTTTGCATTGTTGTATTGGTGTAATGTTGGCTTGATGTATTTGCCCAAATGGGGCAGACATATAGCATTAAAAGTGTGATTATTCATTTGTACAGGATTATGAAGTTGTGTACGAAGGTTGTGTTTAAATTGTTGTATTTTTTTTGCTCTCGTTTCTCTTTGGGTGTTTTCCAGGTTAAACTTGTAATAAAGTTTACTCCTAAATAGTTGGACGTATGTGGATCAGTGGATAATGAAATTATTTATTAGGAATGGAGTGAGGGTGGAGAACTTTCTAAGAGATAACATTGTTGTTGTCGATTTTTAACGATTGAACTTGATTTTCTATTTTATGGCCCAATATTTTATGGTTTCGAGACGTAGTTCGATCTTATTGCTAATGTTTCAGTAAACTGATAAACATGAATAAGAGAGTGTCGCCGGCAAATTGTGCAATATGAGTAAGAGGTGTATAAGAGGAGTAGATGTTGAAAAGGGTGGAGAATAGATATGTTTGGAAGATGTCTGCTTTTATTATGCGGGGATTGAATTGATTGATTACTACTGATTCCGCTCGCATCAACAGCTTAAGTCATTAGTCCCGTAAGTATAGAGCACGTTATTGATCGGGAGTTGGCGGAAATCTTTGCTCCGCTGGATGGCGAGATTCGCCGACATTCCGTCGGCTAGCAGAGTTCTCCCCAACCAGGTATCTCTGACCAGCGGAGCACCGTCCCAGCCGGAACAAGCTCTAAGCTCCCAACCATATCCCGGCTGTTGTCTTAGTGTACAGCATTTAAATGTAAATGTGTGCAATGTACGGGTGAAAATATGACAAGGAATGGGAAGGAAAGAACGCGATCCGTGCCCCGCTTTTTATGGTGATGCTCCAACATTCGCCTAGTGTTCATCGAAAAAAAACAAGGAAAACTACCAATCAGAGCGGTCGGCCGCTAGAGGTCTCCTTCAGACAGCGGCTGAATTGTTTTAAAACCATATTAAATAACACCATAAATATGCTGACTAGTGTCGAAAATCATGCCACCGTCGGGACTCCAACCTAGGACCTCCCGGTAAAGGCGCTGCGGTGACTTCAGTTGATGCCTAGAGGTCCGTCTCTCGGGGCGGGGATTAGAAATGCGCCCCCTCGAGGGAGAAGTGTGGCGGAAGCGTCACCTGCCGAAGCCTGTTCCAGCGGTGTGTGTCCGCTGCCCCTTTCCAGAGGTCCGTCTTGCCCTGACTGTTCCTGCTGCGTTGGAAAACTCCCCGCCACATATGGCCTTCAATGCTCCGAACGTTCAAAATCTATCACGCTTGGAAACGGCAGATATGCGAGGAACGCGTCAAGGTGCTGCATAAATACATAAATGATAAATTTGGAATGCTTTCAAAGCACGAGAAATCATACCAGACGCAGAACATACTTCCAATGAAACACTTATATTCATGTAGATTTAAGAAAACTATTGAATAAGTTTCGCAATAAAATAAATAATATTTTCATTGAATTTATTACTTTTGTTACATAGATAAATTTGCTCTGTCACATTTTTTATGGAAGTGAAGTTAACAATTCTTAGAATGTTGTTGAATTAAGTTGTTCTTCTATAAACATACCTTACGTAAAAAGTCAAGCAGTATGTATCAATACATATTAATTATTCATGACATTATTTGACACTGTTTTAAACAATCTAATACATTTTATGTATTTAAAGGCTTGCGGAATTTTACTTATATGTTTCCGAGAAAAATACTCAGACAGCATCTTTTGTTTAGATTAACAATATTTCTTAACTTTGTAGGACTTTTTTGTTTTATCACATTTTAGATTCATATCTAATTTGTTTTAGAGCAAAATTAACCACATGCTCCTGATGTTCATGCCTATTGTGAAACTACTGATAATGGGATAAATATTTAATTTTAACATTATCACACAATTTCCCACGGCGACATTTCTGCAATTTGGTTATCTTCTTCAAACATTGGTCTGTCTAAAAAAAAAGGATCCTATGCAGCCTGAACGAATGTTTGATCCTTTTCACTCAGTAAACACCCGTAAATTTTATTTTCCATTTGTGATTGCAGTTTGTTACTGCTACGAAAATGAAGATACGTGATATTGCCTCGTGTTTTTTAATTTATTATGTTGACTTCACGGTCTGACGCATGTCATCCAGATCAAGCGAACCAGAACAAAATTGCGTGTTTTATCTCAAAATATATAAAATGGAGTAGAAATACAGACAGTTGATATTTACAGACACTACACATGCGACTAAACGTGTGATTTATACATTCAGGACGGATATCTTTTAAGCGATAGACAGAGCAGACGTAACACCGTATTTTCAGTACATTGTTTTAAAGTATATAAGCCCATACTATACAGTAAATCGAAAGAAAACCGTTAGCATGTCGCGACGTAACAATATTTCTCAACATCAAAGGAGGTCAAAAGAAAGAAACGCAAAACTTAACATCTGAAAAAATAATCTAAACTATAATACTTCTTCTCTGTTCGTACTTCACATATTAATTCAATATAAATTATGTATTGTTACGACAAGTCGACGATTCAATTGCTTACTAACCTAGTATTTTGTATAAATAAACTATGAATTATAATAATACATTTCAGATTTATAATGCTTTGGCCGCAATGTAGTACGCTTTGCAGTTCTGTTAATGTCTACTAATCAAAAAAACTTAATCAATCTCAGAGCCCCCTTCACTGCACACTCTCTTGGAAAGTAACTCGGGCGCTTCTCCCAACACGCCACTTGTCCCATACCTGCAGTTGGCGCGTAACTGCAGAGTTGCTGTTCATCTCTCGGGCCGCACGGTCCCATTTGCTGTATCTCTGACACTAGTTCACGTTGCACAAGTCTGTCCCATCTGGAAGGAAGCTGTATCAGCCCCTCCTCGCCCTGTGTATCCCCGACATCTCCAGTGCCTTTCGTCTCTCCAGCAAATTCGCATCCCCTAACCCGCCCGCCCAGCCCGTCAGCCCCGTCCAGCCCGCCCCGCGCTACACCGGCCCAGCCGCGGCTCCCGCCGTGCTCCACCCCAAAGCACTACCCCGCCCTGCAGCGGCATCCACCCTAGCGTCCTGTCCCGTCCTTGGCCAGTCCTGCCCTTCCACACACGCCTGCTCCCCCTCCCCTTTGCTTCCCAATCCGCCGACACATTCCCCCGGACGAGCGCCCGTCGGCCACCGCCCACGCCGCCGCCGTTGTATTGCTTTCCACGTCCAATCCAGCCATTACGCGAGTTAAAACTTCCGACGCCTATTTCGAAGCGGCTTCCGACTCGCGCGACGGCGACGATGACAACGACGGCGCCCGGGGCGACGTTGACGGTGGCGCCGGCGCGGCGCAGGCGGTGAAGTGGCAGACGGCAGCGCACAGTCGCAGCGGTAGAAAAATGGAGAGGAGGGCAAAATGTCGGAAATCAGTGATAGAATCTAGTCGGAGACGAAGTGTTTATTAAGAGATAGATATATGGTTTATATATATACTATATAATATATATATTATATATATATATATATTTACAAACCACTCGCCCGTCTCCGACTAGATTTATCACTGATTCGACATTTTGCCTCCTCCCTTTTGGATATATATATATATTATTATATATATATATATACTATAGGAAAAAAGAATATTATAAAAAAATACAAAAGACAAATGAAATAATCGTGGAGCAGATGAAGATAAGGTGTCAAAGATTACTCTCATAGGGCAATAAACGAATTGGTCAATGAAGTCGCATACGCGACAATGTTTAAAGTATTATTCGTCAACTGTCTTTACACCAGTACAAAAAAGAGAGTTGTCGACTCGATTGTAAGATTATTTATTGATTCCGGGCGCATGAACTGATTAAGTGATTAGTCCCGTAGGTGTAGTGCCTGTTTTAATCACGGGAGTTGGCCTTACTATTCCCTTGCTGAATGGAGATAACTGCCACCGATCTATATGTTGACTTGCGGATTTTCAGTATCCAGATATCTCTCATTAGCAGGACACTGCCGGCCACGGGACTTGCTGCGCTCCCTGCTGGTCTCCTTACGTATGTAGTAGTGTAATGCACGTAAGCGTATATTTACGTGCATAAGATAAGACAACGAAAGGAAAGATCACGCGCGGTCCGGGGCCCATTTATTACGGCACTCCTGGTATTGATCGGAGAAACTACTGAACACACACAGCAGCTGGCCGCTCGAATTCTGCTGCAGAAAGCGGCTGAACACTATACCTGTCTTTCTGGCGGTATTTTACAGCTTAATACCATTTTCCGCTTTTCGATTTCAATTCCTACTCATCACATATGTATTTTTCCTCATTTTTATTTTTCGGGTACTCTTGGTTACCATCATGTTGCATGTTCTTCTCGGGCTTACTCTTGCCTTTCTCATTCTTGCACGCATTTCCAGATCTTCTGTTTTCAGCTTTCTCTTGTACTCATACCATTTCAGTGGCGTATTGTGGATCATTTCGTTCAAGATTGTTAGTATTTCATTTTATTTCTGATTTCATCATATTTTATTTTGTCTGACATGAATTTTTATATCTTCCCCCTCCTAAATTAATACTATTCAGCACAAATGTGATAAAGCACTTTCGCAACGCAACCTACGTAAGTTAAGAGCCGATGTTACGAAAGCATAAAATTATTGCTTCGCTCAGGACAACTGGTATCTCGTAAAAAACAGTCCGCAATCTCGCATGGGCTAAGATCCATGAAATAGCTGAAAACTGAAGGAACCCTCCATCGTGCACTGGCACGGGACGGCACGAATACTGCCTCCATCGGTTCGCATGCAGCGAGCTGCTTCGCCTTCGAATAATGTGCCTTCCATGTAAAGACGGCTCTTGGAGACAGCCGAAGTCGCTACGCCTATTTTCCCCCATCCATCAGGAAGAAGCTGCACAGGTATTTCTGTATTTCTCATATATTCGGAGTCCTTGGTTGAAAGGATTTCTCGGGAAGATAAAAATACACGCAGAAAGATTCAAGTTTACTACTGCATTATTCTGAGTTTTAAATAGTAAACGTCAACCAAAATATTTATGAAATATAAAAATATCACTCTTTGAAGATACCAATTTTAAGGTAGAGTCACTTTAGATCTGTAAGTTTTACTATAAGTATTATAATGGAAAAAGTGTAAATCAAGTTGTTAACAAGTGCTCGAGAGGCAAGTGCAAAATTAATATATGAAAGCACAATGTGGAAGAAAAAACGTTCAAAATATACACTTTTATGTTATTCCAAGGAATGAAGTTAAATTTTGCGTGACATACACGGCGACGAGGATTAAGTAGGGCTAGACGTTAAAAACGAGGGAGGGATCAAGGCAGGAACCTGGAGATGAGCATTCGGAAACACCCGTCCGTCACGAAACACGGGGCTCCCAAGAAGTACAAACTGTCCGGAGGCACGAGCGGTGTCGTGAGGCCGCGAGGGACACGGCCGTCAACGAGGCGACGCCGCGAATGCAAAGCAGGCGAGTGGGGGAGGGAGTGACGCAACGGGGACGGTGGCGCTGGCTGACGTGGCGGACGCAGAAAGGCAAGGTGGTGGAGGAAACGGTCGAGACAGTAGGGGCACCGGTAGATGGAGGTAGGCACGTGGCGGTACGTGGAGGGAGGCAGAATGTAATGGAAGGAGCAGCAAGAAATTTGGAGTAAAGGTTTTGAGGAACGACAAATGGTGAAATAGCATTTCATGGCGGTAGAGCAGGTGAGTGGGAATGAGAGGGCAGAGATGGGCGCGGAGGAGACGTGATTGGAGGTGAGAGTGGGGGAGAGAGCAGAGAAAGTGTGAAGGAAGGAGTGACTGCGAGAGCTGGGTCATGAGCGTGGTCGTGAGCGCGGTCATGTGCGGGGTCGTGAGCGGGGTCGTGAGCAGAGCCGTGAGCGAAGCCGTGAGCGAGGCCGTGAGCGGTGCCGGGAGCGGGGCCGGGAGCGGGGCCGGGAGAGGGGCCG